AAATGATACTTATATCCAAAGGAGGAAATGTGAAATGATACTTATATCCAATAGAGGAAATGTGAAATGTTACTTATATCCAAAGGAAGAAATGTGAAATGATACTTATATCCAATAGAGGAAATGTGAAATGATACTTATATCCAAAGGAGGAAATGTGAAATGATACTTATATCCAATAGAGGAAATGTGAAATGTTACTTATATCCAAAGGAAGAAATGTGAAATGATACTTATATCCAATAGAGGAAATGTGAAATGATACTTATATCTAAAGGAGGAAATGTAAAATGTTACTTATATCCAAAGGAAGAAATGTGAAATGATACTTATATCCAATAGAGGAAATGTGAAATGATACTTATATCTAAAGGAAGAAATGTAAAATGATACTTATATCCAGTCATTCTGTTTGGCAAAAGAAAAAAATTCAGGTTTTGCCTAACAGGTCAACTTGGAAATGCTTAGTGTCTATAGATAAATTACATGTTCACCACATAAGATTTTACAAACATACACGAAAACGAAGTATGGATGGGGGGGGGGAGGTGTTCAGTGATATTTCAGGTTTTATGAGTAAATTCTGAAGATTGTAGGCTTAAAACACACGATAGCTGGATACAGAGGTGGAAAGGTTGACCTGGTCTTCGTCATGTGACGGTTTTCTAGTGTATGTTCAACTATTTACAGTTATTCTCTTTAACTTGGTGGTAAATATTAATTCCAAAACACTGGGTTACCACATTGAATTCAAAAGCTAAATATTAAAAATAGAATTATAACATTTTAAGAATGAATAAAAAGCGGGAATCTTGATTGCAGTCAGACGTTTATTTGGTATAATATTTTGATGTTTTTTACTGTTGAAATTATAAAAATAAAATTCACAGAACGCAAGTGTAATTTCTGTTAATAGAGGGCGCCACTAAAAGCAGGTGGCACTTTACGAATATAAAAAAAAATAATAAAAATAAATACTTTCTATGTAATGAATTCGTGGTCAAGCACTATAAAAAAGGAACATCTGGCTTTTTTTCACGTGGTCTTCCGGTAGATCGGCGGTAAACTTCAAGGTTTATACTGCTAAAATCCTGGGGCTGTTTCCCCAAGGTGGACATAACATAATGTAAATTTGCATTTGAGACAAATATTTCTCTTGAAATCGATAATTTAAAGCAGAACCCACAGTAAGTAGGAAGTAACAAGTATCAGTTGAATATATCAGTGATAAATTTCATTAAAAAAAAGACAATGTAGCTAAATCTTTAATCATTATAAGCTGTTTGTTAGTTTTTAAAAGCTGTTACCACAAACGGTTAAAACACTGAAAGGTTCATTCCACGGTGGTTCAGCGGTAAACCTGGGTTTATAACGTTCAAGTTCGGGGTTCGATTTCTGTATTTATAACGGCACAAATAGTATTTAAAAAAAAAGAGTTTAAAAGCAGCATATTCGTTGAAGAAGCAGACACAGCGTGTGGCATGTAGACAGACAGACTATGGAAATGATTGTGTTCGTATGGTTTTAAGTGATCCAAAGAATTGATTCCGAATCAGCTCTTTCAAGGCAAACTTTCCATTAAAAGCCAGCCACAAGTTGAGTGTCGGTATTTATTTACTAACAATTTTCCTTTTGTAAACAAAACGTACACTAGATATAAATTGTATATAATAATGCAGTTATATCTGAAGCGAGGCCTTTGTTTATTCCCTCCTCTTACTGGGGATTCAAATAATTAGTCATAAAATATCAGTGTAAGAAGGATCAAATCTTAAGTTCATCGAACGAACAGAGGGAAGAAAAAAAAACGAAACTTTCCCGTGTTACTTAAGGAATGATGTATACAAGAAATAGAAACTGTCTGATCGATATCGTTTAAAAAATTTTGTTGAACCGATTGGATCGATACGGCAGGTGAACATGGTTAGTGAACCAGACTCCCATACTAGGGCAGAGGGGGAAAAAATCCCTTTACTAATATGTTTAAATTTAAAGATAGGTAAGAAGAGTTGGGTTAACACACGGGTCCTCAAATTTTCTCAGAACAAGTCCCCCCCCCTCAACATCCTGACTGAGGCCCACTACCTAATTCGTCTATAGATATTTAGTACCTTAACAAGACTGTATGGTTGCCACAAATACAGAAAAACAAGAATAACTGACTTTGTTCTTCAATAAAGTTCATGTTCGAAACAAAAGAGTCTACAAGCTTTGCTGTGCACAGCACAGACACGCGGACCTGAAAGTAAGCTACCATTCGGGGGAAAATTACACTTAGTTCAATCTCTCGTCTTGTCAGGACTGTTTGGAACACTCTATTTTATTTCTCATTTCTTGTTTGAACACGAACTTCTGATGGTTTCTTTGATTACTCTTGTCACGCTACCCGAATGTCCAACGTGATAAACCTCATAAGGACAGACATCGGGTGTTAGTGCTAATGGTGCTTATCCAGGAGAGAAATTTTTTGGGTTTTAGACTCTGTGTTTTCTGGTTATTATAGAGTTGGGTTGACGATAAAGCTAGAAATGCATAAAAAAACGATCTCTACTCTCCAAATATTAATTTAAAAATATTTCAACACATTTTTCGCCATTGCGGCTTCATCAGGGCTAATAGTACGAGAATTGGCTAGCCCTGATGAAGCCGCAATGGCGAAACGTTGGCTGAAATGAAAAGTTTATTTCGGGGACAGTCCGAAATGGTTAGTTTTTAAAAAGCTACCTTCATAACTTAATTTTATTAAATCCAAAACATTCACGTGCAAACTTTGCAAATTTCAAGGCAGGCACTTCTTAATACTGTACGGAAAGATTGGAGAATTGCATTAACAAACACAGCATAGCATAACAACATAACATACTTAATATGAACTGTGCTTAATGTAGAAAACGCTTGACGTCGCTTATCGGAATTAAGTACATTTAACCTTTTATTACACTAAGTGTTTGAGACTGTCATTTTTTATTATTATATATTTATAAAGGTCGTTTTTTAAACTTTTTATTGAAGTTTGAAGTCTGAGATTTGTGACTTCTGTGCATATAAACACGAAAGTTTATAGTCTGAGTTATGTGACTTCTGTGTATACAAATACACAACTTTGAAGTCTGAGTTATGTGACTAATGTGTATATAAACACAAACGTTTAAATTCGGATTTATGTGACTTCTATGCATATAAACACGAAAGTTTGAAGTCTGAGTTATGCGACTTCTGTTCATACAAATACGAAAGTTTGAACTCTGGATACGTGATTTATGTTCCTATAAACACGTAAAATTGAACTCTGAGTACGATATTTCTTTTCTTGACCAGTTGTCAGATGGTTAAACTAGGCTTAATTTCTTACCCTAATTTTTTGTGTTGAATAATTTTCACATTATTACGTATCTTCTACTGATGATTCGTGTGTCAGAGTTCAAGGTATTTTTGGTGTGTTGTTTTACAAACTTAAAAGGACTAGAGATATTGAATAAATTCGGGGTTGGTGTTACTTTCCAAGGTTTATTGAATTAAAAAGCGGTGTATATATATATATGTTATGTAACACAATCAAAATGTATTGTTCAGTACCAGTACTTCGTTGGTTCGTTGTCAAAAATAGGAACAGCATTCATAGAGTTTAGAGATATAATAGAGTTTCCGGAAATTAAACCTGTAAACAGAAGTTCCAGGAAATCTTGGCAGTGCACAACATTTATGACCAAACTCAAGCGATACATTTTCTGATCATGCGCACTTTTCTGCTCGTGTCTTACTACTGTTTTGTTTTCACTGCGATGTTACGGCGACTTCAGTGCCTAACCATATTCAAAACTCTTGGTATCTTGACTTCACCGAGTGTTAAAAAAAATATGAATCGTTACTTACCAGGACGTTCTACTCAAGAACCGTATTAGTATATTTTACCGGGCTTTGGCCAACAAATCTATAACCGGAAGTTGCAGTTCTGAAGAAAAGCTGGCTACGGCTGGAGTAAAGCGTATTGACTTTCATGTGGTTCGATCTTCTCGTCTACGTCGGTGGATGTTGGTTGTTTATGGATTCACTTCAGTCAATCGACCTACGCGGGAGGTAGATTTACAAAACTGGGTCACTTCAGCACGACAGGCTCGCCTTGGGATAATAACTATAATTTACATCAACAAATTAATCAACAGCGTTTAATGAATAGAAGAGGTAGCTGGCTTTAATACTTGGATTTTAGTGCGTTAACTATGACAAGCTAGGCATATCGAAACACCCGAAAAGTGCTAGAGAAG